AATGTATTAGCGTGAATAGAGGGCTTATTCTCAATTATCCCGAGCACCATCGAGTAATCTGTGTAGTGTGAACGAATTGTGATTTGAATATTATTTATTAGCGCGAATGGCACGGCTAATTTCCAATTAACGGTAATCGAGTACTCCGGGGTAGTGTGAGTTAATGAAAGTATTTTTTAGCGTGAATAAAGCGGTTTATCCCCAACCACTCCTAGGATATCGAGTACTGTAATAATACACTGGTAATGTGAATGAATTGTGGTGTGAATGCAATTTATTGGCGGGAATAGAGGGGCTCATCCCAAATTACCCTGAGGAATATCGATTATTCTGCGGTAATGTGAATGAATAAAAGTAATTTATTTGCGTGAATAGAGGGGCTCATCCCAAATTATCCTGAGGAATATCGAGTATTCCGGGGTTGTTTGAATGTAATTTATTAGCGAGAATAGGGACGGACTTATCCTAAATTACCTTGTGGAATATCGATAACTCTGGTGTAGTGTGAATGTAATTTATTAGCGTGAATGGAGGGGCTCATTCCAACCACCCTGAGGAATATCGATTATTCTGCGGTAATGTGAATGAATAAAAGTAATTTATTTGCGTGAATAGAGGGGCTCTTCCAAATTATCCTGAGGAATATCGAGTATTCGGGGGTTGTTTGAATGTAATTTATTAGCGAGAATAGGGACGGACTTATCCTAAATTACCTTGTGGAATATCGATAACTCTGGTGTAGTGTGAATGTAATTTATTAGCGTGAATGGAGGGGCTCATCCCAACCACCCTGAGGAATATCGATTATTCTGCGGCAATGTGAATGAATTAAAGTAATTTATTTGCGTGAATAGACGGGCTCATCCCAAATTACCCTGAGGAATATCGTGTATTCGGGGGTTGTGTGAATGTAATTCATTATCGTGTATAGGGAGGGGCTTATCCTAAATTACCTTGAAGAATAAGATATAGAGATATAATAAGATATATATATATATAGATTTCCTCTGAGGTTGTGTGAACGGTAAGCAGACCATCATGTTTTATCTAGTTTGCTTTTGGGTATTTGTGTTTGTTATTTTATCGAATGCCCTGAGGTGTACAGAAGATAGCAATAGGATAAAGAAAAGAGAGAGTTAGTAAACAATGTAGCTTGCCGACCCCAAAACTTAACAAAAAATATACAAAAACAAATAAAATTAATTATATTAACCCAAGAGGTAGTTTCTTACATTTGATATTCATCACCGTTAAAGTGAAACCTTATTTCTTTTTGGGGGATAAAAATCAAAGATGATTGATCCGAGTACTTTCAAGACAAGTACACAAGATGATTGTTTCAACTCGAAGCAAGATGAAAAAAATAACAATAATAAATTACGGGATTTAACTTCAAACGCGTAGGCTAGACAACCCGGATAGGATGTTCTAGACCATGCCCGAGTTGGTCACTTGTTCTTCTTCCCCACTTCGCCACCCGCCACCTACAGTTTTATTCAATTATAACGCTATTTGTTCGTAAAACTTACGGTAAACCTTCACTTGGAAGCAATGGACGTAAAAGGGCCCGTTAAAAAGGCTGAAGTGAATACAAAGAAAAACTTTGTCCCGTTACTGGATCAACTCTGGTTACAAATCAGGGATTTGAAAGTCTCGACTTATTTGCCGAGGGGTTCGCGAAACGTCCAAAGAAGAATGTGAACTTTGTCGGAGATTTAGCTAATTGTATTTCTATACGGCAAGGCTTTGATTGACGCAATCGGTTTGTTTTTTCTTAGGATCGTATTCCAAAACACCTCCTCTTCTTATCGCCCACGCTTTACCGGCCTATTTTTGAGAATTTCGTTGTAACAGTTGTTTTGAACCTTTAGTGCTGCATTCTTCACATTCAAAAGGTTATTCGTAACGTTCCAGAGTTGTACAGTAGAGAAAAATATGTCGGACTATTTTACAGGGTGAGGTATCTCAGTTAATACTTGGCCGATGGAGTTATCGGCCCATCGCGAATCACCCCAACGAATTCATCTATTTTTTTCCTTCTACCGCTTCTTTTGAACGTGAGATCTCGATTGTCCTGGTTGGACAAAGATCGGAAGTAGTAGGCCAAAGAATCGTGTCCTCCTTGTCCCACCTAACAAATCGGTCTGGTAGCCCAATTGCTCTCGGTGGCCTGTGGGTCGATCAATTGAATGAAATGTTGCCGGTAACGTGATCATAACTGCTCATCTCGGTCCGTCTTTTCGACAACAGCTTGCACTAAAGTATTAAAAATAAGTCGGAAAAAATAAGTAATTCGTGTGTACTCTTTACAGTACAACCATCTGAATAACGGGGCTGTTTCTCATCCAAAAGCTCCTCGGATCTTAATTCCCCACATTGCTTTGGTCCAGAAAGTGATGTCCTTTCAAAAACTATCCTAGTGACTTGAATAATAGAACAATAAATAAAATCAAGTTAGAGTTCGCGAAGTCGGGACCGCTAAGTTAGGACGATTAGCAGGGTGGTGCAATGCTGTTCCATTTCTGAGTGCCTCAAAGCGAAATATATGCAAGATGGTAATTTTATTATAAAAAGTGCCATCCTATCATAAAATGTTCTTTTAGCAAGAAAAGGTGGCCTAAGAACTCGCTACATTAGGACGAAAAGCAGTAAGTGGCGATGCTTATCTATGTCTGAGTCTCATAAAGCGAAATGTGTGCAAGATTGTTATTTTATTATAGAAATACCATCCTTTCATAAAATTCCATTGGCCAGAATTGGCGGCTTAACATCCCGCTACGTTCGGTCTATAAGCAGGGTGGATCAATAGATCTTTACAGTGTGTCTAAATAAAATATATGGCATTTCATATATCGTAGCGGTTCTATATTAAGAAGAAGAAGAAGAAAAATAACTTTATTCTGGGACTGGTGGGAGGTGATTATACAGGTGGGATTTAAAGGAGGAATAGGAGGCAGCGTGACGAATAGAAAGGGGAAGGGAGTTCCAGAGTTTAGGGGCTCGGATCAGAAAGTATCTTTCGAAGGTATGGGTTGTATGTTGCGGAAGGATAAGGTCGATTGGGGATGAGCGGGTCTTACGAGTGAGATGTGAGGAGTTGAATTGGAGGGATTGGATGATGTAAGGAGGACGACGAGTGTGGATGGACTGGAAAAGAAAGCAACCTAGGAAATACTGTGCACGGAAGGAGGGGAATAGCCAGGAAAGTTGGGAATACAACCCCGACACCCGGGATCCCCGTGGGGTGCCGTACACAAATCTTACGCAACAATTCATAATACGCTTCAATCGCGCGTTCTCCCCCTCCGAGAGACCACCGTATGCCAAACAGCTATAATCGAAGAAGGGAAGTATAAGGGAAGATACAAGGAGTTTGCGGGTGGAGAAAGGTAAGAGAAGCCAGGACCGACGAAACAGGCTGAGGGAGGCAATGGAATGGCGGGAAATTTGGGAAATGTGAGAATGCCAGGAAAGGTTTTGGTCAAAGACTACTCCTAGGTTTTTAACCGAAGAGCAGAAGGGGATGGGATGGTTATTTAGCATGAGAGGTGGGATGCTGGGGAGGGAATTGAGGAGTTGCCTGGACCCGATAATTATGGCGGTGGATTTGGACGGATTGAGGACTAGGGAATTTTTATGGGCCCATTCGTTGATGGAGTTTAGGTCTTTTTGGATCTTGAGAGTGGCCGAGTGAAGATCGGAAGGGTGGAAGGATATGTAAATTTGGGAGTCATCGGCATATAGGTGATAGTTACAGGTCTGGATGGAGTCGGGCAGATCATTGATATAAATGGATGCTAGAGCCTTGGAGCACCCCAGATTTTAGAGGGTGGAAGGAGGAGGTAAGGCCATTGGGAAGGGAGACAGCTTGGTGGCGATTGGTAAGGTAGGAGTGGAACCATCGGATGGTGCTGGCGGAGAAGGAGAATTTTACAAGAAAATGCCGTCTTTAAAAAAATTGCCATTGGCCAGCAAAGGCTTCAGATCCCTCGACGTCAGGCCTATAAGCAGAGTGGGACAATAGCTCTTCCATTTTTTTATGTGACAAAACGAAACAAATATATCCACATCGTTTTTCATTTGGGGCATTGTTTTATGGTAGAAAGTGCTATTTTTTCCCAAAATGTGTATCGATCAGAAAAGGCAGAAGTCAGACCCTACTACGTTAGGACTGCAGGTCGTTTTAAAAAATTGGTATTGGCCCGAAAAAGCAACAGACAGCTTTCGATACATTACGACTGTAAGCAGGCTGACGAAGTATGAATAGTTCTTCCATTTCTGAATGTCTCAAAACGAAATATACGGAGAAGATACGAAGAAGATGCAAAAAAAGGAAAGTGCTGTCTTTCGAAAATGCTTATCGATCAGAAAATGGTCCCGTTATGTCAGGAATATAAGCAGGGTGAGGCAATAGCTCTTGTCTCTTTGTGTGAGAAGCAAGACGTAGCAATGCTTTATTGTAGAAACTAAACCTTTCAAAAGATTCATTGACCAGAAAATACGTCTTCGGATGATTCGATATAAAGACTATAAGCAGGGAGGGGCAATGAACATTCCATTCATCACAAAAAAAATATGCTCTGCCCCATTTTTCAAACTATCTGAAATTTTAATGTGTTCATTACTAAAATAACGTTGCTATCGTTGCTATTTACTACAAATACAATCAGCACTATATCAAAACAGTCTGGATGCCAAAAACTCGTTTTTCGCTCTTACATATGTTCTTTGCTTCACGAAAAAACATGAAATGATAGATATGTAATCTAACCATACCTTACATAACTAACATGTCCCTTACCTAACTTGATCCTAAGCCTAACCATTCCTAACCTCATCATTCCTAACTAACCTATGACCCGATAATGGTCACACTTCGTTCGTCCTTTTAATTTCAGCATACAAATCAATTTATAAAACTGCTGAATCTGATGGTTAAAAATGCATGATTTAAACTGTTGAAACGCTGAACCTCACATTTTTCTCAATTTTTGTTTCAGATGGAAAAGACCCATGAGCAAATCATAATTCCCCTGGAAAATTTCAGGAAGCAGCACATAGGTGGTGTCAAGGTGAGCTTTTATCTCCGTCGTTAATATTGTTTGAGAGCAAATTCCCACTCGATAAATAAGCTATATTTGGGTCAAAGTCGCTTGAAAGTTTTCTTATACGATCGTGCAGTACTTTCTCGTGGAAAAACTTGGAAATATCGTTTAATCCTGTGTTTCAGAACACCTGTTCAATAATAGAGAATTCTATCAAGTTTTAATAGATTTAAAACCTGCCATACTTTGTTAAAAATTAATTGTTTTATTTCTTCAATAAACTTAATTTATTACAAAAACGAAGAAAAAATAGGTGGTATCCTGTGTACTTTCACATTGAACATTGCCTTGCACTTCACTGCATATCAATAACTAGTAGCTATCAACTTCCAATCAAGTCAGCTACTTCGGACTATACCTAGACAGACGTGGAAAAATACTTAAAAGACAACTGAACAGAAGACGTGGACAACGGGGAAGACTTTTGGGTCGAAATATATTTTGACGGACAAATCTCAGCTAAATTTGGGCTACTTGGACATGGAAAGAGGAACTGTGGGATCAAGATATCCAATATCCTAACAATTACCCTTCTTTGTGTACCGGGAACAAGGATAGAGTGGCAAAGAAGAAGATGATAAATTGGTCAGGAAAGTTCGATTAGAGCACCTATCGGCCTTGAACTCTTTGTCGGCATACCAAATTGCCAAAAATCATACAACTGGTTAAGAATAGGTCCTCGGTTCAATGGGAACGTATTCTAGAACAGAAGTAATCTAAACGATTCATTAAAGTCCCCTTCAGTAAGATTTTAACAGTAGTGAAGGTCGCCGTGGTTACTGGCTGACATCCTGAGGTCCAAATGAACCTAGAAAGGTTGGATAGCCTCTAGGAATCCATTCTAACTAGGACATGGATTATAGGATGGATCTCCTAGTCTAGTCCATGTAACTAGACATATGAGAAGTACCGAGGAGGCGTTAAATTGGCCATGGAAAGTTCGATTAGGATACCTAGCTGCCCTGAACAATTTTGGTTCATAGGGTTCATATGTCATTCACATAAGGTCCTCAAGGTCTTCAGTAGTTCTCAGAGACTAGCCTAGGCATTACTGGAACAATGAAAAGCTCCACCCTCTCGAACCTACCTCCACTACTTATCTTCATCCAGAGAGAGGCTAGAGCCATAATTCACAGGGATACCAATTGCCAAAAACGTAGCTCCATCATACAATTGGTTAAGCAAGTCCTCTGCTCAAAGGGATTGTTTTCCGGGGTAGAGGCATGCGAAAAGTTCATTAAAGGATCATAATAGAAACTGACGGCAGAACTACTAAACTTAGGACGTGTTTTGGACTAGAATGATAGGACTTCTGACTGGACACTGCAGACACCGGGGGCAGTATAGACTCGGAGTTGTCGAAATAAGCCTGTGCAGATATTGCAAGAAAGAAGAAAAAAAACAGCATGTCGTCTGTTGTTGGAAAGGCCTATGCAGGCTGTCCTAGGAGAGGAAACACCAAAGCATGAAGCCCTTATCTCGTTGGCTGATTCCTTTTATCATTTGTCCTCCAGGCGCAATGACCAAAATTATTTTAAGATGAATCGCCGTTGAAAACCAACTTCCAAAGAATTTTCATCGAATGCTGAAAATCTGTCAAAAGCTCGAACAAAAAAATGACATTTTATTGATTTCTGCCTAACAAAAGGCTTCAACCCCAACCACTTTCACCATTTTATAGGATAATGTATAATTTTCGTTTTCAGGAGGGGAAAAAGAAGTTTGAAAAACAGACTGCCAAGTTTTGCCAAAGCCAGGAAAGGTACCTCAGTCTTTCTACCAAAAAACAAGACACATTCCTTCAAGAGGTGAGTTTTTCTTAATTATTATATGTCCCGAAATCATCACGTACGTGCCGATAAATTTGTTTATTGCAAGAAGCCACGTGGAGCCCGAAGCCTCCTAGTACACTTCTTACCATCTTCATTTTGAACCGTTATAATAAAAAAGTAATACTTGATACTCACCTAGTCGTAGATTAACGTTAAATGTCACTAAATCGAGAATAATCCATTTTCAATGCTATTTGAACGAGAATGGAGGAACCTGATAAAAATAAATCCGCTATCTAACGTTTCTAAACTACTACTTACTGCTAATAATGATGATGATGATGATGATGAGATGATTCGCTGTTAGGTTGGAATGAAAGTTGTCATCTGGTAAAATAGACTGAACGCTACCATGAGCCCTATCAGCTAGGAACTGCAATGACTTGGTAATATCAGTGAGGTAGCTGCAGAGAATTAGGTAGGTAGAAGGATGTCCTTAAGAAAAACCAGCATTGCCAGTAGCCAAACGCCATCTAAAGCCTGGATCACATCAAGAAAGGTACTCGAACAATGAGGACCCAAGGAAGGTAGATGTTGACAAAGCGGTTTGGTATTTCCCAAATGCTTCAGCTTTTTGGCTTATTGAGCTTTTTCTAGTTCTTTAGTTCAGTTCAATTGACTCGATCCTTTATTAAGAAATTGAAAGTCATTGACTGTCATTCCTGCAATTATTTTCCCTGGGTCTTCTTGATATCCTAGGTTATGTGTCATTGAGTTAACTGTTCGGATAAGATAATATTGGCAGTTTATTTTCTTCTTATTGCACAACTCAAAAATAGGGTTTTAGTGGCCAGGTTTTTTTTGTGGCCCTGAGAAGGGCCGTGTTATGGCTGGAGCCGTTGGTCGAAGTCCGTGGACTGATATCGATTAGCCGGATGTTGATGCAGCGAAAGACTCGGTTGCGAGCGAAGGGACTCTGGCAGAAGGCAGTCTCGTCGGCTGTTGAGACTGCGAGATATGATGCTGCGACTACCCTTGTTGCTATAACTAGTGTTGACGGCTTGCTCCTTTAGTGAGAGTTGAGACCTCGTCGACGAGTCTGAAATGCACAGAGCTGCAGCAACCTGGACCTTTGATGAAGCAGTGGTGGCACCTAGTGGATAACTTGTTAACCAGGTGGTCACCACACGGACATCATTGAATATATTCATGTTGGTGCTTCTTTAGATACCAGTGACAGTCTTATCACTCCCTTGAGTGTTTCTTGCCAGTTTTGGGGAATGTATTTTAATCGGTTTTCTGAGACCGGCATCTTCGTTCTTTTCTCCTTTTGTTTTTTATGGGCTCATTCTGAGGAGGATTTTTTATGGGAGGAGTTTGTTTAAACTTGTCACCTCAAGTATATCTTCTGGGTCTTGCATATCCTATAGCCAGTTTGCTTGTTTGTTACCCAGAAATCCTTTGTGCGCTGGCATCTAATATATTGTCAGGTTGTTAAATTTTTCCAAGGCTTGGAAATTTTGGATGTGCTAATGCTTAAGACCCGTTGGCTGTCTGATCAAGTGAGATTTTTTTTGTATTTGAAGGTGGTGTGGTATAGAACACGTAGTAGGGTTCTGGAGGCTTTGGCTTGGAAGGATTCATTTGGATGTTGGAAGGTTTAGCGGTGTATAGTTCTAATCCGTATGTCCACATTGGTTTCAGCCTTGTAGAGTATTAGTTTGTTTTTTGTTGATATTGTCGGTACGTGTGATCTTGATATTTTTTATTGTTCATCACTGTCACATTGTTAAATCGATAACATTTTATATAGAAAGCAATTAATATAAAACATAAAAATTAAAAAACTGCAGCCATTTGAGCGATACATCGGAGCACAGCGGCAAGATGAACCGAGGGAGTCACCGGGACATTCAAAAGGATGTATGAAAAGGGTGTACTTTTAAACAAGTGCGAAAACCCCCACTAACCAGAACCCAGTGAACCACGGTATTCGCACCGAAAAAGTACTCCATATTCTTACAATACCGATATCTACCCGAAACAAACATAAAAGTCTGGTCACAGTTACTCCCTCAGGAGTACACGATGCTCTTCTTTTTACGCTAATCAATTAACATAAACATAATACAATCACTATATAAATTTAAGAACTCATATAGCCCTGAGGTACCGAAAATTCTTATGGCCCGCTGCCGTACTCCAAGGCTAGACACAGGTCTGATTATATGCCACATTATTGTCTATTAATTATTTTATAAGTACACAATACATATTAGTACATATTACAAATGATCATAAAAGGTTTTTTCACACAGTTAGAGCACTAATACTACTGTCAGCGCTGCATGCGGAGGACACATGACATAAGCTCAAGGTATTCTTGAATATTGTCCACGTAGATGGTGATAATAGTATTAGGATTTATAGGTAGATAAGAAGTATAAATGATATAAAGGATGGGACCTAGAATGCTCCCTTGTGGGACGCCGGCTTATCTGTCTGACTCCCGAGAACTCGTTGCCACACCTCTAAAGCAACAGTCGGTTAAATAGGATTTCAGAATAAGGTAATAAGGAGTCTTCTAAGTTATAAAGCCCCTTCCGTTTTTTTTATCCTTCCTTAAGGGGCACCTACGCGGTCGCTTTTTGTTATTCTCGTATGATCGTTGTCTTGTCAATATGGTATTTTTCCTCTTCGGCCCATTCTCCATGGAACAGGGACCTACGTCTTTCATGGCTATTTTGGCCACAGTTTGGCATTGGCTATTTCGATTTCTTCCTTCCCAGCTGGACTTTCTTCCTTCCCGGCTATCCTTATGTACCTTCTTCACATCTGCATCGATCCATTTTCTTTTTTTCCTTTCTTTTTATTTATTACATGGACTACCGAGGCGCTTCTTGACCGTACTGATCGGGTCGGATACTAGAAAAGATTTGTGGTTTTGATTTATGCTATTCTCACTGCATCAATATGGCGCCAAGTTCTTTCGAGTATACGATCGTAGCAGGAGGAATTTTCTTAATAGTTTTTTATTACAAGAAATTTTACGTTTTTTATGCTGTAAACCGATATGTTGTCGTGTTCTTCTTCTTTTATAACGATAGCCAGTTGCCCAGATGCATCACTGAATAATTGCCATCTATAGCGGAAATCTTTTAATTTAATATGTAAAGGTGAGAACACAGTTCGACATTGTCGGCGTCTTTGTCAAATGTATTCCATGACATTATTCGCCTTATCTGGGTTAGTTGCGGTTTACCTAATGTCATCGATCCTTTGAGCTTTTCTAGGCTATTCATTGATTGCCGGCTGAATGGGCTGAAACTTTTATGTGATAGCGGGTTTAATCTTGCTTGTTAGGAACCGTTGGGTTTGACTTTTCGTTTGTTTTATAGTGATATTTAGTTTTGTGGGTTTTTCTTCGGAACGTTGGTTTGTAGTACCTATTTTTGACCATGTAACTAAACCCTGTTGCTACTATTTATTATTAAAGTGTATTTATTATTAGTGTGTTTATTAAAACTTTACAAGTTAACTCCGATTGTTCTAAAAAGTCCTAAGAATCCTAAACGTCCTAAAAATGTGGACCTTGATAGTCCAGATGGCCGTGAATCTCGAGAAAACCTGAAAAACAATTCAGTCAGTGCATGTTGAAACATTGGTGATCTGTCATGTCCGAGCAAGAAAGCCCAAAATATGAATTATCTTAGAAAGAAAATACAATAAACCAGAAGGCTTCCTAGTGAATACAAAAAATTTCCTAACGTTCAATCATCATAGCCTAAATCCTTGGATGCCGGTGGACCTATATGCCCTGAACCTATACCGGGATAACAAGGACAAAGACGAAATCCTCCATCTCTGCATAACTTCACAAAAACAAAAGGAGAAGTGGGCGAATTCCAGAGATGCCAGACACAGTAAACCTAACAGTTAAAGGACCCTCAACAAAACTGGCAAATAGTGCTCCAGCTAAATAAGGTAAAACAAAGGGGAGTGATGGGACTGGTCACTAGCATCTGAGAAAACTACGCATCATGGGTCTAATTGATGACCCCTTTTGTAGATTATGCTATGAGGAACCAACCTCTCAAGCCTCAATGAGACTTAACCTAGGATATCAAGAGAGCCCAGGAGAAAGAATTGCAGTAAACGACCTAATATTTCTTAAGAGAAAGCTCGAGTCGATTGTAGTGAACTAAGGAAATAGGAAACGTAGTCACCAACATGTCGTAGGTATAGGAGACACATGTGATGTTGGTACCAATCATGCAACAATATCGTGTAGTGTCTTTAATCCTGAATAGGCTCTGAATCATTGCTTATGCGTGATGCTCGGCATAAGTACCTTAACATCATAGGTATCCATAACCATGAGTGCCTGCGAATAAATCCGGACCTTATCCCAATTAAACACTATTTGGGACAATCTAAACAGAAAGGTTCGTTCAAGATGAACATCCCGTTAAATGCTAAAGGCAGTTGTACTTGAGAAGTGATACAACATACCCCAAGATTTTTCTATAAAAGCGTTTTATGAATGTGTCAAATAGCAGTTTTCAAAGCTAGAGGGTTAAGGTTAAAGTTAAAAGGACTACTCTTTGCGACCTTGCACCGAACCAATATTGGCGTTTTTCCATCAGATCCCAAAGCCCGTGCGTATTTTTTTTAAGGCCTTCCAGAAGTAGGAATCTTAGCTTGCATATGCCATTACACTAACGGAGGACTTTAAGATTATTCTAGCCCTAGATTTAGTAGTTCTGGCACTAGTTTCTGCGATGGTCCTTTGATGAACTTTTTCCCGTGTCTCTGTCCTGGGTTGCATTCCCATTGACCGGAGGACTTATTTCTAATCCATACTCTTTATTACCTTATGCACTGAGACCAATCTTCATTATTCCAATGCTTTTTGCTAAGCTTAAGTTTTTTTCATCAGGTCCCAAAGGTTTTTAAGGGCTCCCGTTTGAATCCTTCAGGCCTTGGTTTTTTTTCTGTCAAAGAAGTAAGAATCTTAGCTTGCCTAAGCCATCATACTAATATACTAATAGAGGACATGTTCTACTTTCTTCTTCTTCCTGGCGATCTGCCCAGGTTTTCTGCTGATCCGGGTCTATACTGCGTCCGGAGTATACAGTGTCCAGTCAGCCGTCCGACTATCTTCTAATCCTAACACATCCGAGATGTAGTAGTTCTGATGTTAATTTCTGCGATGGCTCTTTGATGAATTTTTTCCCATGCCTCTGTCCTGAAATACAATCCCGAAGACTTCTTAACCCAAAGTCTGGTGGAAATACGTTTTTGGAAATTTGGTCTGCCGCAAAAGGGTTCAGGGCAGACAAGTGTCCTCATTGAACTTACCTTGGCCAATTTATCTTCATCCTTCTGCTCTGTGTGTCTTCGTACTCAAACAAAGGTGTTTTTATTCTTATACACAGATCTTATTGTTGTTGTTGTAAGCCAGAGAGGGTATTTTTTGTTAAATTCCAGGTGCAACTGCAGCTATAAACCTCAGTCCTACTTCTCGAAATTATTGTCATATGTTTTATTATTGTAATTAATTTCACGCTTAAAACCCATGGCGTGGGGGCTGTGTTTGGGATCGTTCTTAGGGGGGCTGGTTTTTCAGTTTCTGTTTATGTTGTTTTCCAAATCCATGACCGAGTAATGTAAAAGAGGTCACAAATGGGGTGGCGAACGCTTGAACGGCGGTGGTGCCATTGATTGAAGGGAGGGGGTTGTTCCATTGATCTCGCCCTCGTCGCCGCCCCCACTTCGTTTCTTCCGAGTCGCCGCCCCCGCCACCCACACTTTCAACCCCGTCTTTTGTTTATCCACTTTTAAATGGCAATGGCACACGCCTAGGGCACCCCCGGACGAGTACGACTCGCCATCCTCACGTCCGCAGTTGCCCCATTACCCTTCAAACCTGGGATGTGCACAGATGGTACGATTCGACAAATATTAGGTGAATACGAGTTTTCAAGTCAATGTCACTCTTAAATGTCAGTGTCAGTGCTCTTTGAACACATTTTAAGAAAACACACTTTTGTCATTTTCTCACAGATGCTTTCCACTGGCCCAACCCCTTCAATTTGGTTGTCATGTACATTCAACTGAACGCAATTCGGTTTGGTTTCCGTTAAAAGTTTCGTAATCGTTTTGACACGCTTTATTTTTCGACGTTTTTAACCCTTTTCTTCTTGGAAATATGTTATAAATTTTTTAAATTTGTATTCCAAGCACACGATTGTTGGCCATTGGCTGCTTTACATTATGCGCATTTCCGCCGTTTCCAAAGCTAAAGGTCATGTAAAATGTCAACCTTTTATGCTCTGAAACATTATTACACATTAATACTGTTTTAATTTTTATTTAATTGTCAATGTAAATTAGGTAAATTTATAAGGATTCAATTGTAGTGTCAAATACACCTTTAGTTTATGAACAGTTTTTACCTCACTTTTCAAAAATGAATTTTGTTATTATCAAGTTGACAGACCTTTAATGAATTATTACACCTTAAATTATACTCATTATTAATATTACACATTAAATTAAGGTATTCTTAGACATTAGGCGTATTTTACATTTTTTAACAGTTATGGTCCTTAAAAAAAAACAACGATATTTTAGCTGAAAAATTTGTGACGCAGTGCCTATTCTATCTTTTTGTGATAATTCAGTTCTTCTTCAGTACTACATTACTGAGTTTAGCTGACAAACTTGTGATATTACCTTTTTTAATGGGTCAAATCTCATTTTTAAAAAAACATTATTTTAGCTGACAAGTTTGTGAGGTGTTATTCTACCTTCTTTTTTGACAGTTCAGGTCTCATTTTTTAGAAACAACGTTATTTTAGCTGATAAACTTGTAACAGTACGTTTTTTTAATTGTTCATAAAAGCTTGTGACGTTGGGCCTATTGTACTTTCTTGTTTGACAGTTCAGCTCTCAATTCTTTTATATTTTTTATTTTATTTTTTTATTAATATTACTTTTAGTAGACAAGATTCAGCTTTCTTTTTTTTTAAACAAGTTATTTTAGCTGATGATCTTGTGACAATACTTTTTTTAATGGTTCAGGTCTCATTTTCTTAAAATTAATATTACTTTAACTAAAACGCTGGTGACGTTGTGTCTATTGTACTTTCTTGTTTGACAGATCAGGTCTCATATTTTTTTTCTTTTTTTTATTAATATTACTTTTTAATGACAATATTGTGACATTTTTCCTAATTTACACCTTTTAACAGTCCACGTCTCATGTTTTAAAAACAATGTTATTTTGTATGAAAAGCTTTTGGCATTACCTTTTTTAATAGTTAAGCTTTAATTTTTTTAAAACAACGTTATTTTAAGCTGACAATCTTGTGACATTACTTTTTTTAATGGTTCAGGTCTGATTTCAAAATCTATTTGGGCTGACAAGCTATGACGTTGTGCCCATTTTTTATACATATACATTTATACATANTATTATTATATATATAAAACACAAAATAATATTAATTAAAAACAATGACACCTAAATGACCCGAAAAAGATAAAAATAGGCACATGTCATAAGCATTTCAGTTAAAAACAGTACTAATTAACAAAAAATACCTGAACTGTCAAAAAAGGTAATGAACTTATATTAAAATAACTATTTTTGTAATAGTTGAACCATTAAAACAGGTGTCACAAGCTTTTCAGTTAAAATTAAATTATTTTATATGTATAATAACAATGAGCACAACGTCAGCTCGAATAATTTTTGTAATGAGACCTGAACCATTAAAAAATGTAATGTCACAAGATTGTCAGGTAAAGTAACGTTTTTAAAACACTGAGACTTAAACCATTAAAAAAAGGATAATGTCACAAGCCTGTCAGCTTAATATAATGTTGTTTTAAAAAAATGAAAGCTGAACTATTAAAAAAGGTAATATCACAAGCTTTTCATACAAAATAACATTGTTTTTAAAACATGAAATTGTTATATATAAATTTTTTAATTAATTTAAATAAATAGAAATTTGTAAAAAAGCACTAAGATATGGATTACAATGGGATACATTTAATTTTAAATTTATCTTTGCGTAAAACTGAATATTCTTTTGGATGTAAAATTGTTTGTGCATGTTTTAACAGGCAGATGCTACGCTGGAGATGGAGCAGCGTCACTTCTATCAAGCCAGTCTACAATATGTCTTCCTTCTCCAAGAAGTTCAAGAGAGGAAGAAATTCGAATTCGTTGAGATTGTAAGTTATTCCTATTTCTTTTAATTATGCATTTTTAAAAGTCATTCCTCAATCAAGTTTTTCTTGTTTACATTTATTGCGTATACAACACAGCCTTTCAGTCATTCACTCGCTGCATTTTCTTTGAGCATGACATTCATTCATTAATCACAAGATTATTTATATAATATTTTTTAATGTTCATATTATCTCCAATTGAAAAACATTGAATCGTGGATATGTAACCTAACCCTAACCCATTTATATTACTTCACCCTTCCTAACCTAGCCCCAGACAGTGGATCTTTTACTTTGGAACTGCAGCTCCTTTAGTCTGCCAGGAATTGATGATTACCCCGAGTATTGATTGGCCTCTTGAAAAGCCAATGCTGCTGCACCCAGAAATATTTCCACATTTTTTTGAGTTTATGTATACGAAAGGTGGTTTTTCTGAGGATTAAAAAAATAATTAATTTAAAAACTTTTAAGCATCCCTTTTATTAATTATATAATTGTATTATTTAAACTTAAATATTATTATGTTTAAATTACATGAAATACTTTGTGGAACATTGAAATATAAAGATTTATATGTACATATATATACATATTGAAAAATAAATAATGTTAAAAAAAATACCTAACCTAAGCTGTCACAAACCAAACCCTAACCTAACTCATTTCTTATCCTCACCCTTACCCTACCTATTCTAGCTTAACCCATACCTAACCAATACGCACTCCGTAATAACCTGAAATTAATGGCATAAAAAAATTGTCCAGCCAAAAACATACCCATGTAAGGTTAACATTAGAAGTAAATTTATTTATTAGAATTTTATTACCTTGCGCACCGTGAGCAATATTGGTCTATTGTGCAATCTCCATTATTATTTATATCTCTTCATTAAGCTAAAGGTTTTTATCAGATCCCAAAGTTTTGTTAAAATCGTCCTAGTACCATTCTCTTGGAAAAGGACATCCAACAACTCAAACATTTTATTTTCATAAAAACGTGCGTTGCTAATTTGTGTTGTCATAAACCAATTAGATTTATAACAAAAAAATACTTTTTAATGGTTTGTCCTCGATTTTTTTTTCTTATTGTGCTTTAGTGTGTTTATTTATATATTGTTTAACTGTTGTTACTATTAATTTTCTATTTTTCAGCTCTTAACTTTGATGCTAGGGTGGCTTACATTCTACCATCAGGGTCATGATGCTGCTGGAGATTATAGACCATACATGACAGAGCTACAACTAAGGATACAAAAAGTAAATTTAGTATAATTTTACTTAGTAAGTTAAGTATGCATGTTGATGCAACAAATACTTTACAACGCCCAGAGTATTAAAGTATATCTATAATAATGAAAAATGTTTTGATTATTCGGTATACTTAAAAGTCAAAACTACTATTTTGAATAAACCTTTTATAATGATGTAAAAATAATATATCAATGTCATTTTCTAAGTTTTAACTATTACTATTTCCCCCATCACAGGCAGGGTGCAGCATACAGATATAGACATAAAATCATTAAATTTACATTTCATCATGATTTTTTATCCAAAAAAAGTTATACACCATGTTAATAAAACAATAATTTGAAGAAGTTAGTATATACTAACTTAGTAGGAAATGTGAAAAATTGTTTTGGATTTTATAGAATGTCGCCAAATTTGCCCTGTGGCCCTTTATATTTCAATATTTATCTTATGCGGTAATGAATAATCTCTAACAAGCCCCAATTTTTGTTTTAGACAAGGGAAAATTTTAATGCAACAAGAGATAAAACAGAATCTCTAATGAAGAAAACATTAGAAATGAGGCAGACAGTAAGTCGTAAACAAGATACGTGTTTTTATAATCTTGTATATCCATTGTAATTGAGTTTTTTGCTTACAGAAGACGGTTGATGCCGGGAGTACGCAGACAAACAGCCGTGAGGGTTACCTGTTCCTAATGGAAAAAAGTGAGTGCATATAATCGTGCAGGGTATTAAGTTACCCCAGCTGTTTAAAAAAAATTATACTTCTGCAGGCTTATTGTTAACAAATAGATAATACATAAACAATAATAAATTAAGAAATTAATAATAAATAATAATAATTAATACAATTTAACCAAGTTATGAAAAACTGTGTCTGTGGGCCAAAGCTCAACAAAAAGCAGCTACTCAAACAGGCAGCATACAAAGACTTGCAAACCTATGTATCATATGGGCAATGAGAACAACTCCTACAAGTGCACTAGAAACTCTGCTAAACCTACCTCCACTGGAAATATTCATACAAGGAGAGGTTAGGAAAAGCTCATTTAGGCTCCAAAAAACAATTAAATTGGATAGGAACTAAACAATTCGGGCATACAACTTTAGTTGACAAAATCGGACACCCATTCTTTGAAATGGGGAACAATCTTCACAACATCCTACAAAGTCTCAATGGACTGTAAAGGAAAGGAAGAACACAGGAGAGCATCAGACACAATGATAAGGTATACAGATGGCTCCAAAATCAGGCGATTTCTGTACAAGCCCAAAACATGAGCAATCAAACTCATTAGGGAAGTACACTTTGGTCTTTCAAGCGGAAATACATGCCATCAATGCTTGTGTCCTGGAAAATCTTAAAAGACTGACAGAAAAATCCTCATAAGATCTGATAGCCAAGCAGCCATTAAAACATTAGTATGTAAAAGAATCACATCAAAATTAGTCAGTGAATGCATCCAAAATCTCCAAAACCTGGGCAAACACAACCTGATGATATCTTGGGTGCCAGGACACAGAGGAATTTTGGGTAATGAGAAAGCAGACAAACTGGCCAGAGGAGGATTTGCAAGACCATACAAAGGCCCTGAACCTATACTTGGGATAACAAAAACAAATATAGAATCCTCCATCGCAGAATTGATCCAAACAAAACAAAAGGAGAAGTGGATAATCTCTAGCGGTGCTAGACATAGTAAACTTATGATGAAACGACCCTCACCAAGACTGGCAAAATCACTGCTGCAACTGGAGAGGGCTAAACTCAGAGTAGTGATAGGACTACTAACCGATCACTGGCATCTGAGAAAACATCTACACAACATGGGCATATACAATGAAGATCCCATCTACAAATTAAGTAATGAGGAGGAGGAAACAGCCACCCATACCATCTTCGAATGCGAAGCAACAGCTCAATGGAGATTCAACCTAACATACGAAAAAACTTTGCTTATGCCTTGTCTTTTCCTCTCCCATATGTAGTAATCTGAGCTTGCATAAGCCAACCTACTAACAGAGGACATGTTCTCCTTTCTTCTTATTCCTGGCAATATGCATAGGCTTTCTGCTACTGTGAGTACAGTGTCTAGTCAACAGTCTAACTATCATTCTAATTCTAACACATCTCAGGTTCTGATGTTAGTTTCTGCAGTGGTCCTTTGATGAACTTTTTCCTTTTATCCATTTTTTGATGGATCTAAGTTTTTGGAGATTTCGTCTTCCTCAAAAGGGTTCAGTGCCAATAGTTGCCCTCATTGAAATTTCCTTGGCCCTCATACCCAAACAAGGATGTTTTTGTTGTTGCCCCCCAATGTTAAGCCAGGGGCATACTTTTTTTTAAATGGCAGGTGCCACTGTGACTATAAATCTCAGTCCTAGATGTCTTCATCGAAGAACTTTCCTTGGCCAATTTATCATTCTCTTCCTCACTCTCTGCCCTATATGCCCTTGAACCCAGACAATGATAATTTTGTTGTTTTCCCCAATGTTTGACAGAGATAGACCGAAGAGTCCTTCTTTAATCTTCCCTACGCCAGGAAACTTCCCCCAGGCTCAAAAAAAAATTATATTAGTAAATTATATAATACGAATAAATTAGGAAGTACCAGAAAACAATTAGTAGGTTTAGATATCCATAATTGACCGAAAAGAGTATTAAAATAAATGGTAAAAAGTAACATTGCAAGTCATTCATGGTTTTTTTTTTTTTTTGAAACATGATTGTGCACTAACACTCCTCGAATGGACAACCCGTCCTTCCTAATAGATTATTTTTAAAAGAAAACAATGTGTTCAAATTTGCAAATTTTGCATGATTTAAGAAAAAAAGCTCTGATGTACAAAAGTACTCACTATACTCACTCTATCATAACCATTTGTTATAAATTACCCTCGACGACTCTCAAAGGTTAAAACAATGCAGTTTAATATAATAATCCATATAACATAAAAATTGTATCATTTTCAGAAGCATTCGGGACAACCACCTGGACCAAGCAATATTGTACATACCAAAAAGACACTAAAGAATTCTGTATGATCCCTTACAACCAAATGTCAGGCAAATTTGTAAGTATCAATTATATTATGTTTAAATTTGAAATGAGTTAAGTTTTAAATTAACCGGTGTGTTTTTATAATTGAGAATGCTGCGGAAAAAATGATTTTGGCATCCTGTGTTAGGCGAATGTCAGATTCAATTGAGAAGAGGTTCTGTTTTGATCTCACACCATCTGATAGGTGAGTGTTGTATAGTTTTCAATATTTCACATATTTTCATTTATTTTTGGCCTGATCTTTTTTAAATTTTTAAATTTCAACATTATTGTGTAGCAGTAATGACCCGAGGACTGCTTATACTAATTTATAACTACTTTGTTTAGAGCTGGAGTAGTTTATACATTGCAAGCTCTTTCTGAAGAAGATCGTAAACAGTGGATGGATGTAATGGACGGGAAAGAACCGGTGAGTTGTTTTCTTGAATATTTAGACTTTAATTCGATGTAATCATTAATAAATTAATATTATGACAAAAAATTGTTCTCTTGATATTCGATTTGATGAGTCTCATGTTTTGCATTTCCCCCATATCAAAAAAAGGGACAAAGTTAAGTCAAACAACATTAGCAGCAGGTAGAGTTGCTTTAACACATCTGACAACTTTATTTTTGACAAAAAGCATGCCCTATTATCAACCCTTAGAATACATCTGAATAGAAACTTTTTCTTAATTATTTTCTAGTTTAATTTTAATCTTTGTAAGTACTTAATTCAATGTACTATAGACTATATACCAATTGTATTTCATTCCATTTTTGATAATGTTTTAAAACAAAAATTTGTTTTAGTAAACATAATTCAATTCGTAAAACTAGTTTATTTATAATTTATTTGTTGTCCTTCTTTATTCTTAACAAGCATTTTACCCAAATGTGCATGGCAATCATGCACATTAAATATACATATAAAATCCATTATTTTTAACATTTTTGTTTTTTGTTTTAGATGTATAGTGTGCCAGGTGGAATAAAACCCGTTAACAAGACTGAGGATCGTGTGTTAGATGAACTAGGTTTTAATTTTGTAACAAGATGTATAGAAGTTTTGGATGAAAGAGGTATATAGTACTAAATTGAAATAGTTCAAATTCAGTCTTTTAATTTGGTTTGGTTTTTAAGGGTTGGAAGAACAAGGGCTTTATAGAGTCGTGGGCGTAACTTCAAAAGTGACAAGACTATTGCAACTGGCACTCGACAAAAAGAAAACGGACAAATTGTTCGAAGACAACAGTGAATGGGAAACAAAAACTATCACTTCAGCTCTTAAAACATATTTGAGGAGTTTGTCTGAACCAATCATGACTTTTAAATTCCACAACAGTTTTATAAATGCTGCAAGTATGTCAAAGTTAATATAAAAGTATCTATAAATTGTGGAAGCATATAATCAATCTTTTTCTGTCTCTCTCCCCCTCTCTTCTCTTCTCTTCTCTCTTCNGGCCCCCTCTCTTCTCTTTCTGTCTCTTGCTCCTGCCCTCCCTCCCCTCACAAACAATCAAATCTCTTGTTACATTTGTATTTTAAAAAAGTGTCCTTAAACCAGAATATGTTTTCAGAGCTAGAGACACAAGCGAAAAGAGTAAATGAAGTCCATTCTTTGGTTCATAGACTACCAAAACCTAATTATGATATGCTAGAAATATTAATAAGGCATCTAAGTCAGTAAGTAGTTATGTCTGCAAAAATTACAAAAATGTACAATAATAGAGCATAGATTTATATCACTATTTTTCTAATTTTAGTGTAGCTGCTCATTCCGATAAGAATTTAATGACTGTAAGCAACCTAGGAGTTTGTTTTGGACCTACATTACTTCGTCCTGAAGAAGAAACAGTAGCGGCTATTATGGATATAAAATTTTGCAACGTAGTGGTAGAAATTCTAATAGAAAATTATAATAAGGTAAGTGAGTAATCAGTTAAATACGTGTTATTGTGCGTGTTTATGTCAAGCTTTTTCTGTCGTCATTTCATGTTATTTTATAATAGCACATGTGTGCTATTCGTTTGTGTATGTGTATAGATAGATTTATGTATAGATTTATTTATATTCTCCTAATGTGATCACTCCATAACACTGGGCTAGTAGACTGTTAATACTATTAGCAACAAATTAGTTTTATTATAACAATTTTTCTTTTGTGTTTGTGAGGATCTGTGATCTGGTTTCTATCTAGTTTCTCAGTCAGTACCTTCAAATTGACTTTGATAAATTTTTTTTACTATTATTTATAATATTTTTCATCACTAAATTTTATTTTGCTTAAAGGTTTTATTCCATTAATAGTTTTGGCTTTACAAGGTTTAAAGTTGATAGATTTTAAGGCTTTTCGGCACATTTGCCTCAGTCACTGTCATTTTTATTTGAAACAAAAACTTAATATCAATAATATTAAAAAATAGCAATAACTATGAAAAAGTACCAAAAATGTAGCATGAAATGTATACCTTTTTAAAAATAGTTTACACTTACGCAGATGATGCCGCAATTTTGTTTTCTAACCCAAATCTATCCTAGCAACCCCCAACATCCAAGAACATCTTGAGTTGAGACTAGACAAAGTCCATGAAATGGAGGACAAGACTGAATTAGGAAAACTACATCAGCAAGGATCTACCAATTTTCACTGTCGGATACTTCAATCCCCGCACAACTTAAGGGGCAATTTAACAGACAACTTGGACAAGCTGATAATAAGCGAAGTTTTGGTTGCTTCCTCCTTTTTGTTTCACCTGAAGCCCTGCCCCCATTTGGCCAAGTGATGATCTCCCATTTTGCTCCATTCCCATTATCAAACGCCTATACCTCAGGTCCCAGCATCACCATTAATTGTTAGACAAATGAGGTGATCACAGAGCCGTTCCCTCCACTATAAAGGGACACAATAAGGATCTACTGATTTTCACTCAACTCAGATAGCTAGACGTGGAATCCCCCTACACGACTAAGAGACAACTAATAGATGACTTGGACAAGATGATGATAAGCAATGTTTTGGTTGCTTCTTTTCTCCTTGCTTCACCTAAAGCCCTTGCCTCCCTTTGGCCAAGTGACAATCTCCCATCTAGCAGAGTTCCCTTTACCAGACTCCTACATCCCAGGTCCCAGTATCACCATGTCCCTTTACGCTCACGACGTGATCTTGTTTAAACACTCTTGCTGCTCTTGGGAATGCTGCATGGCCGTGCACAAATCAAGCAATGCAGTGTGCAACTCAAGCCATAATAAAGAAAGATTAATAGGGTGAAACATTTCACTATCCGTAATGACCTCCAATTCCTAAATTCCTTTTGCCAATGAACTGATCTGATCTTCCAAAAGTTACACTCCAATCTATTGATTCATCCTAACCCTACTGCCCAAGATTCTTTCCCCTTCTGAGAACCCACCATAAATGATGTTAGTGTTGAGACCTCCCTGTGTCCTTTGGGTGCAGTGCTGGCCATAATGTCATTGTCATGACTGGGAGAAAAAACGTACGCACATTGTATTTTGTAATATATATTTTCATATGTGCAGGCTATAAATAAATTATATAAATTAATATAACATAATAAAACTACAAAAATATAGCAAATAAGAAAAATTAAATGATTAAAGGGGTCTAAATTTCAGGAAACTTAGTATATGTTGATTGTTATTGGAGCTCGTACCCTTTGACTAATAAAGTAAAATAAAATACTAGGTAAAGAGAAAAGTTTCAGTGGTTGTTCATTTATTATACCATTTTTTAATACCATTAGTGAACATTCTAGTTACATAGGGCATAATAACAAGAGGGTAGGCAATGTGTCAGTTCATAAAGAAAAAATTGTCTTGAACAGGTCGATACTAGGTTGGCCAAGGCAGCTCATAAAATTTGCACTTTATTCAGTGATGAAACAATAAGAGAGCTCAATGCCCAAAAGTGGTTCAAAAAGTTGACCTCTGGGAATGAGAGAATTGAAGATGAACCGCGGTCTGGTTGACCTTTTGTCTTGAATGATGATGAATTGAGAGAAGATACAAAACTTGATTTGAGACAAACATGTCAGGTGCTTGCCAAAGTGTTCAACGTAAGTGATGATTCATTAAATTCACTATTTTTCATGGTCCGCTTGACCAATTAATTTCACTCAATTAATTAAAGTTTTAAGTTGAGATAAAAAAGTCAGTGTCACGAGCGGAATTCGAACCCACGACCTTCGGCTAAATACGCCGCTACTCCGTGGCCATTTCACTTGTCGCCGAGAATCAAATAGATTACACGACATTTGAAAAATGGCAAAAAGGAGGGAAAATTCAAAAGGTGCGGTTGAGGTGGGAAGTTAGTTCCCGAGTGGATCAAAGTCACGATAGCTCAAGTGGTAGAGTAGCGGCGTATTTAGCCGAAGGTCATGGGTTCGAATCCCGCTCGTGGCACTGACTTTTTTATCTCAACTAAAACCTTAATTAATTGAGTAAGTGATGATTTTTTTAGTTTATATCGACTTAGAAAGACGAGTAAGCTGAGCAAATGGGTTCCTCATAAATTTACCAATGGTAACAAGCTTCAGTGTCTAAATATTTGCCTTTTCTTGCATTCATGGTTAGTAGAGAAGTTTTTGAGCGCATTGCCATATACGACAAAAAATAGAACCTGTATAACCAGGAGGCCTATTATTGGCTACCACCAAATGACCCTGTCCCATTGATGCAAAAACCAAATATTTGCCAAAAAAGTGATTCTTTCGGTTTGATGGAGTACACCAGGCAGTGTGCATTTTCAACTCCTGCCACATGGCCAGTCCATCACTGTAGAAATCTACTCAAGCCAACTGCAATAAGTATCTCTTGCCCTGACCCAGAAAAAAACCTACTCTGATGAACAGAAAAGATGTGATTTTTCACCAGGACAATGCGAGATCTCAGACAGAACAACAAAGGATGTGGTAATGTAGTTTGGTTGGGAACTCCTGCCACACCCATGGTTTTCTCCAGACCTAGCCCCATCTGACTTTCAGCTTCCCTTAACAATGGATGATCATATGTGCAATCGGGAGTTCGATAATCGCCAACAGCTGGAAAATGAGTTAAGCCCTTTAAACTTGCATGAACATTTCTGGTTATCTGGTACATAACATAAAGATAACAGAAGTTTGAAATTTTATAACTACACGGTATTATCTCTTTTATTTTTTTCAGAACCGTGGTACACAACACTCTTCATGGCCAATTCTATCTATTCAAAACCTTTGAAGACTAAATGGAATACAACACATATTAATCTGCATTTGTGCTCAATACATGGAATCTTTACTTATTTACACACTGAAATCAACGTCCTTGATTAATTACCTACACAATAACACAGACTTTAAACAGTTACAAAATACAGACAAACTGATGACAAACGAAGTGCTGTAATTGTTCTAAGATGGATGATTTCATTACACAGTACATATTATAAGTTATATTCTTTTACCTCTGGCTAATTATGTTTAATGTATTTCATTGTATGTTTTTAACCGGTTTGATCTTTTAATTAGTTACTAAACTATTTTTCAAGCTATTGTGAACTTTTAGGCCTTTAGATCTAATTAAAGGTGGAATGCTGCTTTTAACTCTTTTCACCAGGTGTTACATCATTCTTTATGTTTTATACGGTGATGTGTTCAGAAATATGGGCAATTGTGGTGCATGCTGTAGATTAGAATTGTATTGTGTCTTTATCTCCTTTTTTTTGTTTTTTCCTCTACTGTCATCTTCCTTCTCAATATGCAAATTAAAAGGGTTTGGACACGTGGGTTTATTGTGTTTCTATTAGGTGTGAACTCATTTTTTTATATTATTCTATTAATCTAGTTGAATCTAGGCATAGAGCTATTAATAATTTCATTTGCAGGTTTTTCAAAACTATGGTGGTCAACAGGTTGAATGCTAATTGCCTGGATATCACTTCCATATTTTATTGGGACTATAAGAATCATACAAAAATTGATTTGTATTAACAGAATTATTCGCCGAACTTCATCGAAGTTCTAGTATTTTTAAAGTGCAATGTATTCTGCACTTATTTTTAATTTTAAGCGGTTTATAACTGGCAAGATTATTTTATAGTTAACCTTTTTTGACATTTTATGACAATAGCATTATGGCCTGCTATTTTAACTATTTTTATTTATTCAAGTTTTCCCTGACATTTTACAAGTACATTTTAAACGTATTTCTATTACACTTACCAATTTAAATGTAATATAGTAACTGTAAGAAACTGGTGGAGTAAAACATACAAAATTTAAATTTTCGAACATATTGCAGCTTTAGTTAAATTAAGTGATTAATTATATACATGTATAATAAATTATATTTCAACAAGTTCACACTAGTCTTTTAAATCAATATTCCTTTCATGGTGTGAGCTGTTCAAGTAAAACTGAATCATAACAGTTTAACAGATTTTAGTGACAAAGGCAGCATTCAAAAACGTATGGTATTAAATTATGGTGTTTCTGTTGCCAGCTAACAATGGTAACAACTCAATCTACCTTTTCCTTTTAATAAAATCAGTATTTAAAATTTTTAACAATGTTTCAAATTTCAATATCCAATTTTTCATTGTACACATTATTTATATTTTTAGTTGCGTAATTTTTTAGTCCTGCTTTTAAGAAAAGGGTAGTTTGGAATTTTACCAGTGCGAGCAGGTCAAATAAAGAAAGTTTGGCTTTTCATTTGTCATTGCTTTATAATATACATCAGCAGATATTCTCAAAACTTATATTCTGATTAAATTAGAACACTCAATTACCCTCATATTGCTAGGTTTGTCCCATATCTTTATCAATATCATTTCGGTTCATTTTAACAGCATGAAAAACACCTATTTAACATATTCTTTAAGCCTTTAGGATTGTTTTGTATGGGGAAAATATTAAAATTGTATCGAAATAAAATTTAGTAGATTACTACCACCATTCAAACCTGTGACCCAGTTTTTATAAATTACATTAAAATATGCTTATTAACCCTCAAGACTACAGTTACATCTATGAGCTGCATACGGGATAAATAGCTAGTTTTGGCACAACTTGGTTTCTCGCTAGTCCAAGTAGTTTAATGTATAAATTATCCTTTTAATGAGCATTCTTGCTACAGCTCTAAACTACTTGTATTAACATCACTATTGAGTCATGTAGTGTTCATAATAACAATACAAACTAAGTGTAACCTGACAATAGGAACCACATAAGTGAGAAAATAAAGTTATAAATAAAAGTGATAATTATAATATAAAACCATAAACTATTTGTAAATTATTTAATAACTAACACACCGGATTAGTCAGTTTGATTGAAGCAAGAAGTAAGATGTGATGTTTGGCGCGAGAGCTGTTGTATCCTCCCATTCTGTATCTATAGCAGACTGGTGCTATTCTGCCTTGGTCTTGCAGATCCTCTAGCAGTTTGATTCTTCATTGCACCAAATTCCTTTGTGCCCTGACACTCAACATGTGTGAGTAGTATGGAGCTCTACTTGCAAGTAGGTTGTGAGCTTGGTGGAGCTGGGAGGGTAGTACGCGGGACAGTTTGCCTACAGTTCTGTAAAAATCGAACCCCATTAGGCAAACCAAGGCTTCATATTTTGTTATTTATTAATTAATTCTGTACATACTTATATCCTACCGTTTGGCTAACGTCGAGGAAAGGGTTCACAGTGTTTTGAACAAATTACATGAAATTTTGAATCCCCGCTCCTTCCACGAAACCATGTCTGTTTAAACAGCTGCCACGGATCAATCAAACATTCTTACCCCTGTCTCATCTCTTGATCGATTCACAGTCAAACGGTTACGATGCTCGTTCAACATCAATTCTTTCGTACCGTAGGTCACGTATAGTTTAAGGTCTTTCCATATTTATCTGGAATTTTGTTAGTATAGATTGATCGACTCTGGCTGGAGAGACTACACGGTCCTGAATGTTCGACATATCGTCTTTTAACAGATGTTATTGACAACCGATATTATGTTTTTATTAAAAATAATGCCTGTGTATGGACCCCTGATGCCTGTAAAGCAAATATACTGAAGATAAGTCAATGGACAAAATTTATTTTTTAAATTTTCTAATTTTTATCGTTTTTTACTATCTCAGAAAATGGATAAAGAAAATAGAAAATCTTAAATCAATTTTTCATACAGTGGGCAAGGGTTAAGGTATGGCCAGAAGCCATGTAGACATTTCTCGTTAGTGTGGATAGCATGCTTAAGATGTACGATGTTATATTGGAAGAAAATCAGGTACTGGTCAATTCTTTTTCTTTCTAATTTTCTTCCAATCTTTAATCTGAGGTCGATACTATACTCGACAATTTAACAAGTCAGGTCATCTCAACAATCACTAAGATGTTCGGGGTGTGTAATTTACTACGCTCTTTGAGATCTATTGCATTCCCCGTGCTGTACCTAGGGCTCACCGGTGAGTCCTAGTGCATCAAGAAATTTGATTGGTAGGTTTGGTTTCAGTAGTTGAATTTCTTCTTCGTTGTACATCCCAAAACACTTCCTCCTGCGGGCAATGTGGTGTCACAGTTTGTTATTAGGTTTTATGAGTATCTCCTCTGCTTCTTTGCTTAATGTACTTGCCATGTACCATTCTTCTTCAGATGTCCTTTGAGCCTGCAGTGTCCTGTTAAGAATCCTGTCAAGATTCAAAGTTTTTGCCTGCTTCCTTTGATGTATTCTGTTGTTTCTTTCTTTCCAAAATTTTCTGGAAGGTTCATGGATAGGATACGTCCAATGAGTGAATTCCATTGTTTCCTCATTTTCATTTTGTCTATGATACTTATTGATAGTGTGAATCCCTATGCCTCAAAAGAGCTCAGGACCTATCACTTATATGGTAGCCCCATTCCTTGCAAGGGCGTCCATTCTCTCATTGCCCTCTCCCATATGTCCTGGACCCAGTAGAGGGTGACTTAATTTTGCATGCCTAATTTATTTAGCTTAGTTTTGCAATGCAGCACCATATTCGACATGATGGCTATATTCTTGTTTTTGTACCCTTTGTTCAGATTGAACTGGGTACATCTTTTAGTTGAGTAGACTTCAGCCTGGAAGATACTCGTGTATCTCCCTTCTGAGTATTTGGTTCCAGGACCGAACACTCCTCTATTCCTCCTGCATTCTAGATCCATGTGTGGTTGAAACAAACCGAAAAATAATGATTATGACAACGGCAAATCACACTGTGAAACATTATTCGTGAAATGTGATAGTAAAGAATCCTGTTTTATGTCCTGTGTATCTTGTCTTCAGATTCATCCGTTTTATGGCAATAGCTAATATTGAACATTAAATTGAAATCGTCAACACCAGGAGTATTGGGTACATCCATTCAATAAATGTAGATAATATAATATAATAATAATAGGCCACTTTTAAGTGAATTAAAACAATGTAATGATAAAATACACTTCCATCAACTTTACCATTTCATCCAATAATTTGTCAGATTACTCTATCCATATATTTATTTATTCTTTTTAAAATTAAATAGAGGCTAGATTCTCTACATCACCTCAAAAATAATAATAATAATGCATATCGTTGTAATGTTTGAATCCGGGACTCACAAAACAATGCCAAGCAATGTCTGTCTGTTACTGGAGCAGACTGGAACAAATAAAACTTTTCATTTGGCCAGTGTAGTTTATTCTTATTTGAACTTATACTAAAACAGTGACGGTTTATATGGCTGCCCCAGTTGTTTTGAATAATCCAGTGTGTTTCGGACCTTAGCATTTTTTCTTGCTTCCTCTTGTTTTGTTCAAGAATAATTTATCCTATTTTTATAATTTTTGTCATTTATCTTTTTTTTATTTTATTAACACTGTATCTTGGTAAGTAAGACTAAATCGAACTAAGCTTATAAAGAGTTGTCAACAGTTTGGTCAATAATTATGTTTGGGTCTACGTATTAATTTTTGGCTGTTTATGAAGTGTCATTTTTTAACATAAATATCCTAACATAAATTGTGATAGATACACACATTTTTGTGTTTGACCATTGTCATCGATGTCATCAATTTTGCATTACCAGGGACTGCGCATGGGTTGTGTTAAGTTAGGAACCATTAGGTTATGTAGGGTTAGGATAAGGATTAGAAATGATTAGGTTAGATTAGGTAAAATGAGGGTTAGGATTAGAAAGGGGTTAGGGTTAGGGTTTGGGACAGGTTAGGTTGCATATTCATGATTTTATGTTTTTTCATGAAGCAGAGAAAATACATGAGAGTTTTACAAAGAATGCCCAGATAGAATTTTTTAGTGAGTACTGACCCTGGTGATCCAAGTATAGGCACTGGGGATTTTTTTCCACCTTCAGTTGATATCTATGTTGATCATATTTCTCCGTTTAATAGGTTCTATTGATAATATTAAAAATTAGGAAGGATTGGATGATAGTTCGGTCATAAAGGATATTGATTCATTTTCATTTTATGCATCATAATAATAGAATTGCTAGTTTAAATAATTGTATAAATTTATCAATACATTTAAAAAAATTAATTTAATAATGTAAACACATAAGTGTTCATGCCAGTAAGTTGTCCTAGCTATTCTAATAAAATGTACAAAGGGTGCGATTTTTAATTTTCAATCTTTCATTTGTTGAAATACAGTTGTGATAGCTATTAAGAAGGTCAGTGCAAGAGCGAATCTTTTGTTTCCTTTTGACTGAGTGTTAGTTGAACATGGTATTATATTGAAGAAAAGAAATTATGACAGTCAAGATTTTGCTTGACTCCACTCTGACTTCCTCAGTGCCCGATTTGAGCAGGTTAAGGCTGGCACAAAATGGGAACTGTCTCATCAAGCGGTAAGTATTATGAAACCACTTTTTAATAGTTTATTTGTTTCAATCATTCAATTTGTTGCTTTTTGCTTACAATGATTTTAACCCAAGTCTCCATTTATATTACCATTAATGGCTCCATTGTCCACTACATTAGTATTAATAGTGTTTTTTCACTATATTTAATGCCGATGAGCCTGTACTGTAATTAGTGCAACTTGATGGTTAGGGTTGCTTTAGACTTTTCACAGAATCACAGATCACGTAACCTAATTTCCCAGCATTTTTTTTTTTTTTTTTACAAATAAATAAATATATCTTATGTATTATCCAGTGTGGAGTTTCACAGTAGGGTTCATTTTTTAATTGTATAACTATAACATAATATTTTAAGTAGATTTTATTGTCCTAGAACCAATCAAATTATTTTTCTTTATGCCTTAAATTGCAATATTTAAAATATATATATATTTTCAGGAGGCACTTTTGACACACACACTTTATACCCTATGCCATGATAAACATTTATTTTCTTTTTTCAGATATTCAAAACACCATATACCGAGTCAAATTTACAACCCCATTCTATAACTGTTGATTCTCCTCCTCGTCAACAATCCCAGCCTATTCCAAGAAAACCAGCGTCGGCAGGGACTGCTCACGTTAGTATTACATTCTGCCTCTATTTTTAATTACTTAAATGTTATTAAAAATGTATACTTTTACAGGTGAGACCATTTTACGATGTTGGTGGAAACCTAAGCAATTCTTTACATAATGTAGCTACACGAAATGCTGTGCCTAGAGGGCAGTTTCAAGGTTTCCAACCAGGAAGAAGAGGCAGTTTTGGTAGAGTTGCTAATGCTGTTGCTGCATATTCCGAAGGAAATCTCCATCTGATATCTTCAGCACATCAGACCCACCCCATTTATGCCAGTCCACCTACAACCAAGCATAATATATTACCACCAGCTATTTGTAATAGATTTTTTTGTAAATTTTATATTATCATTTTACTTCGTTTGAATAACATTTATATATTTTACAGTAAATTCAGATCAATTAAACAGTACGAGTAGCTCAAATGAAAGTGTTTCTTCATTGTGCTCTAGAGACTTGAGTAATCATAATTATGGTACTCCCCAGAAACGAAATTCAACTCATGCTCCAGAAATCTCCACAACCTACCAGTCTCGAATGCAATATCAAACTGGGTAACAATACATTCTGAGAATTGCATTTTATAAATGTTTTCAATGTTGGTTTTTAAATTTTTTTTCAGGCGTGTTCGGACGTTGTATGCTTGCTTAGGTGAAAATGATGGAGAGCTCTCTTTTGAGCCAAATCAAATAATTACCAATGGTGAGTTTCTTTTCTTGGTATGTTGACTTGGAGTCTCTCATACCATAATCATCACATGTGTCAATCAATCACACCAGGAAGAGAATTTTACATATTATTGTAAATGTCTCAAACTATTATTCATAGTCATTATTTTTCCATATTTTAACCTGCAAGAAAGCAACATGAATGCAATAATTATATGTTGCTATATATGCTAAAATATAAATTGGCACTTCACACCCCCCATATTTTCTCTACTTCATTGAAAAACAATGAATTATTTATATGAGACCCTAACCTGACCCAAATCTGATCCCTTATCCTTACCTAACCTAACACATCCCTAACCCTCACCTTAGATTTAGATTAGATCACTACGTCAAAATTATATTCAGCAGCATGGGTATCATATATATTGAAATACATAATTTATGTCTGAGCAACATTGCTTTTTTTTAACAAAATGAAACAAAGTTGATATAAATTCATTTCCTCAAAATTTTCACCTTCCAATGCCTCTGGTTTTTATTTTCAAAACTCACAAAAAGTAGTAATAACTTTAAAACGAATCCACCAATACTATGGATACTTAACCTTAATTCTATCCCTAACCCTACCTAATCTAACCATCTAACCTAACTCCTATCCATTCCTAACCCAACACAATTCACATGCTTTCCCTGGAAATGCGAAAGTGATATTTTTATTTGATAGACTAAAATATACTGAGTGTAATGGAAATGGTACTTTTATGAGAACTCTGAGGTCAACATGTTAAGCAAAGCTTATGTTCATTAAATAAATAGCTAATTTTTCTATTTGTTTATGTTAATTTTATTTTTAGTACGATCGTCTGTGGAGCCAGGTTGGCTTGAGGGGACCTTGAACGGTAAAAGTGGTCTCGTTCCAGAAAATTATGTCGAACCTCTCCTGTAATATATTTCTGGGTGTAGGCAATGTTTTTAAAATCTTATAACTAACATATCTCATCAGACTGATTAACATTACATTATGTAAACTAAGCAGTTTGGAAATTGTTAGGTTATAGATATCAGCTAACAGCTGAACATTTATCGCAGTCCATTTATTTAATTCCATGAACAGGTATTTGGTGGGATACATTATTTTCTACAGGGTATTTTACTTTTCAACCTTAAATTAGCTTTGCATTGAAAACATAACAACAATTTATTTGTGAGAAGAGAGAAAGTCCATTTATTAAAGTTATTAATTTTTTAAAAAAATTCATTTTTAAATCATGCAATAATTTTATAATTTTTCAATATACGGATTAATTGTATTTAAGTCAGAAGATAGTTGTAGATTAAATGTAATAACTGTCCTTCCCTGGTGTTGTGGATGAAGAGGGAGGATCGGCCATTGAGAAATATACACATTATACATAATGTAATATAATAATTGGAGAATAACCGTATAGTTTCATACTAGTCAGAGTGATGTCTATGTATACAATTTGTTTGATTGTTTATGCAAAGGAGTGGCTGGCAAAAATTGAAGCCACTTGAATTGTAAAGGTGTCAGTGTTCTCCTTTAATCAGTGTAATGTTATAATTGTGTAGTAAAATGTGTCCGACGTTCACTCGTTCACATTCTCCATTGATACCGACAAGAAAATGTAGTTTCACCATTAGAGTCAACAAGAAAAGTTACTTTATAATTAGTAATTTTTAACAAATGTTCATTTAGTCAACTGTAGCACAATAAATGTCTCTTCCATTTGATAAATTAATTATTATTATAGTAATAATTATATTGATCATTTTTCCCATGTGATGTGGTACTTAAAGAACATAAATCAATCATTTTTTTTTTAAATAATACATTTAAATATATGGAATTTATGCCATATTATGAGATTTCCTCTTGTGGGTGATAAACATTATTGTTATTTATCATTGTGGTTGCCCATCCTCACTGATTTTTTATTGGTTCAGACGTGTTTCGGCATTTCACCACCTTCAGTGTTTGGGTGATTTTTTTGGAGGGAAGTATATAGATTATAACATTCAAAAAGACCTCAACTTAATCCATGAAACACAACAACAAAGAACACTATACCTACACAGCCTCTCCCGCTGTACAAAAATCACCCAAACACTGAAGATGGCAAAATGCTGAAATGCGTCTGAACCAACAAAATTCAGCTGGGATAGGCAGGCCAAGATGATATGTAACTATCAAACAATAGATTTACCCTATCGATTGTTTTGTTTTATGATTAAAATAAACAAATCAAAATAAAATATCAATTGAATAAATTATAATGCTGCAACAGAAATTTCGTTTTTTTAATGTAAATAAATACAAAAATGATTATTAATTTATTCAGATTGCCTCAAAATGTAATCAAGATAATTTTAGAAATTGTCATACTTGTATGTTTTTTGGTAATTTTACATTACTGGTTTGTGGCGATATTAATGATAGTAATTTAAAAAAATATATATATATATTATATGCATATATACTGTATAGTATAAAAGCACTACAGTATCACTGTAAAAACCAATTTAAAATATTCTAAAACAGTATTTTTAATAAATGTGTACTAATCCCAAAATAGATATGTGCTGTTAAAATGCGCATTTATATTTTTCCATATAATACGAGATGTGTAGGAATTAAATGTGATTTTAAAAAGTTGGAACTGATTGTTCCAACATGCTTTGGCCTGATGCATTATTTATGAAATTGTTGGTGCAAATAACTATTGGGACCAGTTCAGTATGTTCATGAAATGTGGTTATATTATTTTTTCTCTATCCCCTCTTCTCTCTCTCTCTCTCTCTCTCTCTCTCTCTCTCTCTCTCTCTCTGTATCTCTCTCTCTCTCTCTCCCTCTCTCTCTCTCCCTCTCTCTCTCCCCTCTCTCTCCTTCTCTCTCTCACTCTCTTTCAATTTTGTAGGAGTGATGTGTATAATCACATTTCATGGTCTCTTTAGAATGTACCACTGTCACATTGAGTGTAAGCATTGATTCCTTTCATTGCCTATACTGATTTTGATATTTTGCAACTAAAACACCAATTCATACAATTAAGTCAGTTTGTATGCGAAATGTTTTACAAAATGAACGCTATTTAGAACTAGTTTACTGTTTAGTTTCATAAAAATACTGGTATAATTTAAACATTTAACCATTATTATTCTGTATTCTGTAAAACAAAAGAAAAAAAGAGAAAATATTAAAAATGTTAACAAAAACAGTTCTAAGTAATTCTATTGCTATTACTAATAGTGATTGTCCAATTATGTTGTGACAAACATGAGACATGTAGTGTACATAATTTATTTTTATGAGTGTCCTATGAATTTACAGCTACATAGTCTACATAATACATTAAGTAAATAGCACAAAAATATCAATATTATAGATATACATTTTAAATAGATATAATGGATTTCAATAATACTCTGCCATAGAAATGTCCATAAATTAGAGATTTTCTTTAAATTATTAATCTATGGCATTTTGTTTGGTTTGTCTGTTTTTCTTAATTATTAAACTAATTGCATTAAAAATCCATCATTGTATCAACTTTAACAGTTTTTCACTTCAGTTTGAAATAATTTTATATGAATGTTCTGTGATTTTATTACTCGATTGTTAATGATTTGTAAATTCATTTCTTCCTAATTTATTTATTATTTATTAATGAAAATATGTCTGTTACTTTTAACCAAAGATAAAGATATTTTATTTGAGCTTTAGTTAGGGCAAGTAGATTATACAATATAATGTTACACTAACTACCTATAAAGGTGTACAAAAAAAAATTAAACAAATTATTTGTAATCGTTGTCAATAAATGTTGGGTGGTTCATTTTTTTTTTCAAATGTGTGTTGATGTATGTATACCAATTTAAATGTCATTTCTAGTGAAAGAAAGCTAAATGTTAATTATTATGCGATCTGAAATTTTGAAAAATTATTTTCTAAAGTAATGTAATATTTAAAAATGTATGTTCTGTTCATATCATACTGGTAGGAAAATATAATTAAAATCTGAACCCCTTTCTTCTTCCATATCAAATTATTTGTAGCAAAACTAAAAGAAAATGTTTTCTTAGTTGTACAGCACTGTTAGACAGAATGGAGAAAAAGAATAACTGAATTAATAGTTAAACTGTTAATTAGACATTTAAAAAAATTTAAATATTTTGGTTTTAGAGCCTTTAAGACAATACCTTTACTGTGTATGAATAGTAAACATCTTTGTTGACTTATTGCATATAAAATATTATTACATTCAAATCATAGAAAACTTTTGTGTCATTAGCTCCGTTATTCAATATTTATTTATTTATTTATTTCCTCTTTTACTATCTAATGTTAACTAAGATTATTTATTTATTCAATTTTTCATTTTAAACTGACTTGTATAATTGATTAATTTAAAATTTATAAACTGATTTAATGAACCATATGTATGCTTGGTTGTATTTTATTTGAAATGTGTTTATATTATTTTTGTAGTTATGCTGTGATAGTTTCCAAGCAGCTTGTGAATTGTAAATTTTATTAAATTAATTGTTAATTATTGTCATGTTAATTTCTGTAATACCATTTATTTCTTTGTATAGTGTGAATATTTTTTGTAATATAGTTGTACATTAAGAGGTAGTTATATCGTGTATATAATATTTTGTGTTGAAAATAAACCTTAAATTTCAATGTTTGTATTAATATAATTTTGAAACCTAATTTTTACTTTAGGTTAAGAATAAGTACTCAGTTTAAAGGGAATTCTAGAACAGAGGCCTACGAAATATTTCATTAAAGTACCATCACAGAAACTAATGGCAGAACTACTAAACCTAGGACGTGTAAAGACAAGACTAGAATGATAGTACTACTGCTGACTGGACACTGCAAATTCAAGAGGGATATACATAAACCTAAAACAGCAGAAAACCTGTGCAGATATTGCCAGAAAGATAAGAAACATAACGTCTTTTGGTGGAAAGGCTAAGATTTCTATTCATGGGAGAGGAAACACAAGGCCTGAAGGCTAAAGCTTTGGGACGAAAAGCCTTAAGCTACATGAAGAGCTCTAAATAATAATGGGGATTGCACAATAGACCAATATTGGTCATTTGGCTTGATATACAAATTTTTTCGTCTCATTGATTTCGTGTTACTGGGGAGAGTGCATGGATTAAGTTAAGTTAGGTTAAGAATAAGTACTCAGTTTATTTCAGGGTTAGTGTTAAGGCTACATTTAGGGGACAAGTTAGGTTAGGTTACTTAACCTTAACCATAACAAGTTTTTGGGCTTGACAGAGATTTGTTTGTCTCATTAATTTCACATTATTAGGGAGTATGCATGGGTTAAGTTTGGTTAGTTTAAGGTGTGGTTTGTGTTAAGGTGATGGTTAGGGGTAGGTAAGGTTAAGTTAACTTTAATTTGTACTTTCTATCCTAACCACCGAGACCTCAGGAGGAATTCTCACAAATTAATGTTGTGGGTTGATGAACCTGAAATTTAGTCATTACTGATCATTTTTGTCTGCCTATCATCACTGGGTTCGTATGTAAAACAAATTTTGGACACTCTTAAGGTGGGGAAATGTTAAAAGACGCCTGACAAGTTGATGTAGCAAGGATATACAGACAAAAATGATCAATAACAACCAAATATAATTTTATTGTAAAATTCAAAAATAATATTAAGGAGGGGGAAAGGACAAAGTAGGATGTTCCAACCTCTGGTCCTAACCACTGCTCTGTGATGCTGGAAATGCTATAAAAAAATTAATGAAAAGAAAACGGCAATGTTGTTGGGCTACATCAATGGGGAACCTTGTATGATCAAGAGCACAATTGAAACATGGCCCTTAAATCTAAATTGAAGATAGGTTCAAGATCATTCTCACTTAGCTTTGAATAGGCCATTTGTGGTTCACCTGGACACCTTTGTGTCTAAAGCCTGCAAGTGGAAAAATGGCCTGAGAAAAAAAAAAGGCATTGGAAAAAAAACGATCAGATATGTGGCAAAATTTATAAAATCAAAAAGGAAGGCGAAGGAACCCTATCTCAGCTTTGAGGAAAATTGATTATAGGCTTCCATACCAGCCACTGCCCTCTTAACTATCAACTAAAAAAGATGGGCAAAGCAGAGACATAAACATGCCAAGATTCTCATGAGCAACCCTTTGGCACATATCCTTTGTGAATGTTATGCACTAGCCAGTATATGGTATATGGTAGTACTTCACACCAAGATAAGTGCACGAAGTTCTTAGTTAGGTAGAAAAAATATGTGTTCCACAATAGACCTACATTAGGTTGCAATGGAGAAAAGGTCCTTACATAACCTCCTCCCCCTAAAAAATGCTGTGTATTTGTCCTGTACAGTTCCATATATAGAGTGAGTGCCCCCAAACATTTTATAAGCAAATCTGCTGTTCTAATATAGCTCCACTCTTCTGTATAAACTTCTTTATATAATAGATCAATGTATACAAATACTAGGACATGTTATGTTCCACGATTACTACAGCCTTCTAACTTATTTTCCTTTCCTAGTTCAATGCAATTGACACGATCCTTATCTTAAGAAGTATTTGGCCATTGACTGTCTTGCTGCACGTCTTTTCCTTGGGTTGGTTGCTTTGCATTTGAAGATGACATGGGTGGCTATTTCCTCCTCCTCATTGCAACCTATAAATGGTGTTATTATTGAATATGCCCATGTTGTATACATGTTTTTCTTGAAGGCCAGTGACCAGTAGTCACTATCACTCCTTTGACTCTGAGTTTAGCCCTCTTTAGGTTTGCCTTGACTTTTTTTTTTAAATCCATTCTGGGATGGAGGATTCTATGTTTTTTGTTATCCCAAGATTAGGTTCAAGGCCTATGGTCTTTCAGATCCTCCTCTGACCCGTGTATCTGCCTTTTCATTACCCAAAATTACTTTGTGTCCTGTCAGCCAAAATATAATCAGAATGTGTGGTGATTAGTGACCGTTAGTCGATGATTATTCGGAAATTGTGAGATGTGGTCTGGTGTGAATATCTCACGCATCTCACGATTTCCGAATAATCATCATCAGAATGTTTACCCAGGTTTTGGAGATTTCAATGCATATACTGACTAATTTTGATGTGATTTTTTTACTTGTTAATGCTTTATTAGCTGCTTAGCTATCTGATCTTATGAGGATTTTGGTGCCAATGTAAACTCTTTTAAGATTTTCTATGACACAAGCGTTAATGACATGTATTTCAGTTTGAAAGACTGTGGTGTACTTCCCTAATGAGTCTGATTGCTCATATTTTGGGATCAGAAGAGAGAAATATATCATAAGAAACAACAAGATATATTCCTCTGAATTATTTGACTAATAAATTTCCACATCCCCCCTAACTGAGCCCGATGCTGCTCACTCTTCTCCACTCCTTCAACTACCACCTGTACCATTCGATAGACTAGAGACTTGGAAACAAAATCCACAATAATATCGACTTCTTTAACAATTATCTCAACCAGTTCAGAAATTCTTTAAAAACTTATCCTCTAGCCACTCACTACCTTCACTACCTTTCCCTATATTCTAGTCATTATATATTTTACATCCACATATCCCTAGTTATATTCTAGTATTTTATTGTATTAATGTGATATTTATTTATTTATTATTACTTTTATCAAAATAATTTGATTATTTTCATATAGTATTATGTTTTATTCCAATTAGTTATTCTTTTTATCTAAAGTTTCTGGTTGAGATGAAAAATTAGTGTCACAAGCGGGATTCGAACCCACGACCTTTGGCTCAATATGCCGCAGCTCTAACCACTTGAGCTAACGTGACTTCGATCCCCTCAGACACCAACTCCTCATCTCAACCTACAACCATTCAAATTTTCCCTCTAGTTTGCCATATTATATTTTATATTATTATGTTATTATTTCAATTATTATTTCTTTAAATTTTATAAATGCACTTTTCTACTTGTTGCATATTTTCTACTATATTATTTTATTGTAAATTGCAGTTTACTTGTAAACTGCTACTATTCCATATTTTGCGCATATTAAAAAAGGTTGTGGCTGCCTGTTAAATAAATATGTATATATTTGGTGTACACAACTTGTTAGGTTATCTAAATTATGTTTCAATAATTAAAAAATTGACAGAGCTATGAAATGAATGGAATTAGTTTCAAATCACCAGCAAACATCAGGATATGGAAATTTCGCAAAATACAAGAACATTAATATAGATTAAAAATAGGAGAGGAACTATGTGGTAGCACAGAGGCTTAGGATTCACAAAGAACGATTCTTACAAGTTCTGTGGCAGAGAAATATGAATCAATAATGGTAACAAAATCCTATTTAAAGACCTGCTTATTGTAAAAAGAGAATATATTGAGACATTTAACCTAAATAGATTTGCTTTACAACTTGCCAGGTTAACTGAATTTTCTCCCAACAATAAAAAATTAAAAAAGATATGAATTGAATGGTGTTAATTTCACATTGTCGGCAAACTCCAAGCTATGCAAATCTTACAAAATATAATATCATTAATATATGTAAAAAAAATAGAAGAGGGCTTAGATGGGAACCTTGTGGTACCCCAGAGGTTCAGATTCACAAGGACCCATCTTACAAATTCCCTGGCAGACAAGTGTGGGTCAATCCAGTTATATTGGTAAAAAAAAATTATATTTAAAGACCTGCTGATTGTAAAAAGAGAATATATCAAAAATTTAAGTAGATTTGCTTTACAACTTGCTAGGTTATCTCAATTTTCTTGCAATAATAAAAAAAATTACAGAGCTAGGAATTTGATAAAATAGTTTCAAATTGTCAACAAACATCACAGTATGAATACAATGAAAACCATTATATATGAAATATAGAAGAGAGCTTAGTTGGGACTCTTGCCGTACCCCTGAGATTCAGATTCAGAAGGACTCATTCTTACAAGCTCCCTGCCAGAAAAGTGTTAGTAAATTAGTAAATAAATACTATTTAAAGACCTACATATTGTAAAAAGAGAATATATCGAGACAGTTAATTTAAGTAGATTCGCTTTACAACTTGATAGGTTTCTAAATTTTCGTGCAATAATAAAAAAATTTACAGAGCTATAAATTGTTGGAATAGTTTCAAATCATCAACAATTATCACTATGTGGACACAATAAGAAATTAAAGATCTTAAATATATGTGAAAAAATGGAAGAAGGCTTAGGTAGGAACCTGTGGTATCCAGAGGTTCAGATTCACAAAGAACCATTTGCACAAGTTACCTGCCAGACAAGTGTGAATCAATCCATTCATATTGGTAAAAAATACTATTTAAAGACCTGCTTATTGTAAAAAGAACGTATATTGAGAGATTATCCTAAATAGATTTGCTTTAAAATTTACTAGGTTATATAAATTTTGTTTCAATAATAAAAGAATTCGATGGAATTAGTTTCAAATCGTCACCTAACATCAGGCTGTTGAAATCTTGCAAAATATAAGATCATTAGTACAGATTAAAATAGGAGAGATGTTAGATAGGAACCATGTGGTAGTGTAGTTCAGATTCACAAATAACTTATATAGTAATTCTTACATGTTCCCTGGCAGAGAAATATGATCAATTCATTTACATTGGTAAAACATTCCTATTTAAATAATAGAAAGATACTGAGATAGAAGATATATTAGGAATATTAATTTACATTGGTACAAAATTTTTTTGAAGACTTACTGATTTTAATAAGAGAGTACATTGAGTCATTAACCCAAAACAGATTTGTTTTCAAATTTGAGAGGTTAGATGGGAACCTTGTTGTACCCCAGAGGTTCAAATTCACAAGGACTCTGCCAGGCATGTGTGAATCAATCTGTTTATGATGGTAAAAACAATCCTATTTAAAGACTTGCTGATTTTAAAAAGAGAATTTACTGAGATATTTAACCTAAATAGATTTGACAGAGCCAGCACAAAGAACCATTCTTACACGTTCCCTGACTGAGAAATATGAATCAATCCATTTGTGATGGTAAAAAATCCTATTAAGAGATCTGCTGATTGTAAAAAGTGAATTTTTGGAGATATTATTCTAAGTAGGTTTGCTTTACAATTTGCTAGATTATCTAATTTTGTGTGAATAATAAAAAATTGACAGGTTGTAGAATTGAATCAAATTAATTTCAAATCGTCAGCAAATATCAGGATATGGAAATCATCCAAAATATAAGAACATTACAAAAGATTAAAAATTTGAGAGGGCTTGGATGGGAACCTTGTATTACTCCTAGATTATTAGAGTCTCTGCCAGTACATTTATGTACAGTATTATTGTATGACCCATAAATGTTATAATTAAAATGATTAATTGCAAATTTAGTATGTAAGATTGATACTGAAGAGTATTTTTCAAGATTTAAATTTAAAAAATGTAAATGATTAATTCAATTATTCTTTTTAACTAAGATTTTTGGTTGAGATGAAAAATTAGTGCCACAAGTGGGATTCAAACCCATGACATTCAGCTCAATACCCAGCTGCTCTAACCACTTGAACTATCGTGACTTCGATCCACTGTGGATTGAATTATTAAGTAGAGAAGCAGAAAGAGATTGAAAAATTTTGTGTGAATAATAAAAACTTGACAGAGCTATGAATTGAATCAAATTAATTTCAAGTCGTCAGCAAATATCAGTAAATGGAAATCTTCCAAAATATAAGAACATTACAATATATTAAAAATATGAGTGGGCTTGGATGGGAACCTTGTGTTACTCCCATATTCTTAGGGTTCCCTGCCAGTAACCATAAATGATAAAATTAAAATGATTGATTGCAAATTTAGTACGTAAGATGGATATTGAGGAGTATTTTTCAAGATTTAAATTTAAATTATTAATTCAATTATTATTTTAATATAAGGTTTTTGGTTAAGATGAAAAATTAGTGTCACGAGGGGGATTCGAACCCATGACATTCGGCTCAATACGCCGCTGCTTTAAGCACTTGAGCTACGATCCACTATGGATTAAATTATTAATTTACAATTAATTAAGGTTTTTAGTTGAGATGAATTTAAACGAAACGAAATTAGTGAATTAATTAAATTATTAAATAGAAAAGAAAAAAGAGATTGAAAAGATGCAAGTCTTCTTCAAGAAGATGACAATCATCAACAAATTTTATCATTTTAATTTTTTTAAGTTAAGACACTATTTTTGCAGAAGAAAAATATGAAAAAGAATAAAAATGTGTAGAGAAAGGGAAAAACGGGGAAATTCATTTGGGTTGGCGTTGCAAACTTGTGCTGGGGTTAGCATTCGCCAGGCTGACGGTTTGGTTGTTAGTCAGTTGATTCCCCCATGGCTCTCAAGGCTTCCCCCGAACGTAAGGGACTCTGATCGGGAGGTGAGAACGGTGAACCGCCAGCCGCCACGAAACTCGTCCACAGCCTCGACGACACGCACTTTTCGACACGCACTTCTCCGGACAGGAACGGCGAGCTGACATGGCCCGCGTCTTCAGCCCGGTCTTCGTCTCCAAAGCCGGAACAAACGGCGAGATGGTGCCCAAATTCGACAGCCCGGTCACGCTCACCGTCGATTACGACCCCCAGGGATTCAGCGCCAAGCTCAAGAAAGGTAAGCCGATTTTGAACCCAAATACATCACCGGACGGAAGCCGGCCTCCTTTCAGCCTCGATCTTTTTTTTTTTAATTTTCGAACCGTCGATTTCCGTCCGTTGTAAACAAAGGATCCCGTTCGCATTTCCCCTCTCCCGTTTCAACGGAAATTTTCCCGTTTAAAGTGCGTTGTTTGTAAACTGAACCGTTTCCTCGCCCCTGGGTGGAAAACGCGTCTCTTTCAAGGGAAACAAAGGAAATCCACGGCTTTTCCGCCTTTCCTTTCACCCCCTGAGCGTCGGCAAGCGGGCTTCGCACGTGCCCCCTCGTGAGAACCCAAATGCTTTGCATGCAAATACACACACAAAAAAAGCCATCCCTTTTCCCATCTGCCATATAAAATCCTTATATTTTTCTGCATCCTCTTTATTTTCCCCCGATCCGATTTTTCATCCTCTCCTCCCATCCCAAGGACGTTGGCTTAATTAATTATTCCACTGGGGTTTAAAGAGATGGCCCTTTCCTTTTAATTTATCCCACTTTTATTCTTTTTTTTCCCCCTTCGAAACTTTCACTCTTTCACGAATAGGACAAAAGAATCTTTTAATTGATAATTTAGACCGGTTCTTGTATTTGCATCCAACCTCAAACCAATTCGGTTCTTCAGACAAGTGCTAAATAACAACTGACTAAATATCGCATTATGCCGATTTCATTTTGTCCTATAATTTCTTATAAAATACAAAATTTATTTGAAAAATATTCACGTTTCGAACTACGCCCCATTCTTTTTCAGTAAGGCTTTTTTTTTGTCTTGTAACAGCTGTGTTGAGTAGTTTATTAATTTCTACCCAATCTAACAGCCATTATGTTGTATAAATAACACGAGTTTAGATAAATTCATAATTCTAAACCCCTTTAACATAACAAAAAGTCCCAGTAAACCATTCATTATAACATTCTTTTTGTATATGTTATTGCTGGCAATTTTTTATTTATTTAATCACCCTCATTTATTTATAATGATTGTAATTTAATTTCCATATTTTTCCTTCGTAATGAACTAAATGAGACAAAATTCTTTAGATATCTTTGCTTCTCTTAAAATACCTATACATGATTGTAAGACGTTTCGATGTTATATATGTTTGGTTATCTAATTGTCATATTTGCTTTTTCCAACTGTCCTCAGATAGAATTCAATATTTGTTATGAAACTTGGACTTTATGATACTTAATTTTGCTCAATCTGATTTTGATTTGTTTCTCTTAAAATATCTATACATAATTGTATGTCATTCCAATGTTGTATACACTTTCTGATTATGTTGGAATATTCGTTTTTTGTCCTCATATATAATTCACTATTTGCTATTAAACTTGGACTTTATGATACTTAATTTTGCTCGATCTCATTTTGATTTGCTTCACTTAAAATGTCTATACATGATTCTATGTTCCAACGTTCAATGCGTTTGTTGATCAAGTAATCATTTATATTAAGTAAGAGTGGACACACTGGTTTTTGAAAATGTTCTCAGTATCATTTTATTAATTATTTGCCCTTTAACTTAGATTTTATAAGACTTAATTTTGCTCAGTCTGGTTTTGATTTGATTGTCTTAAAATATCTATACATAATTGTATGTCGTTCCAATGTTGTATACATTTGGTTATCTAATTGGCATATTTGCTTTTCCTAACTTTCCTCAGATTTAATTCATCATTTGTTATTAAACTTGGACTTAACTATGAGACTTAATTTTGTTCTATCCGATTTTGATTTGCTTCTCTTAAAATATCCATACATGATTTATACCCTTCGTATGTACTGTACGTTTGTTGATCAAGTAGTCATTTATATTCAGTAAGAGTAGACACTGTTTTTTGTAAATGTTCTCAGTATCACTTTATTAATTATTTGTCCTTAAATGTAGACTTTATGAGAGTTTTGCCCGATTGACTTTGATTTGTTTTTCTTAAAATATCTATACATAATCGTATGCTATTTCAATGTTCTATACGTTTGCTGATCAAGTTGTCATATTTGTTTTTTTCCCCTCAGATTTAATTTGTTATTATACTTAGTCTATCTGATACTTACCTTTGGCTTAGGTTAAGGCTTTCCTTAACATATCTATACATACTAAATGTTGGGCCGGCACTAGTTGATGTATTGTATGTATGTACTTTACGAGACAATTTTGTGTTTGCAGTTCAATTTATTATTATTTGACTTTATGCTACATAATTTTGTTAAATTTAACTGTCATATTCTTATCTTAAAGTATCTGTACATGATGTTGTTCTAGTGTGCTATTCGTTTGGTAATCATGTGGTAGACATTTGTTTCTGCAATTGTGTTCAGGTTCATTTTATCAATTTTTTGTTATTAAACTTACACTTTACAGTAATTAATTTTCTTCTATCTGATTTTGATTTCCTTCTTTTAAAATAACTATATATGATTATGTGCCATTCTAATCTACTATATTTGCTTTCTGTAACTGTCCTCAGAATTACTTTATTTATTATTTGTTATTAAACTTAGACTTTATGCTATTTAATTTTGCCCAATTTAACAAAAAAATTCTTAAAGTCCCTATACATGATTGTATGCTGTTCTAATGTAGTACGTTTGGTGATCATGTAAGCATATTTGCTTTTTGCAACTATCTTCACATTCATTTTATTCATTACATATTTGTTAGTCAACTTGAACTTTATATTTCTTACTTTTGCTCAATCTGTCTTTGATGTACTTCTTTTAAAATATCTATACATGACAGTATGCTGTTCTAATATATTGTTCGTTTGGTGATCAAGTTGACATATTGGCTTCTGTAACTGTGTTGAGGTTCATTTGATTATTATTTGTTATTAAATTTTGACTTCATGAGACTTAATTTTGCAAGATTTAACTTCGATTTGCTTGACTAGCTAGACCACATGATCTTACATTGTTCCACAATTTATCATTTTGGTCTGATCTGATAGATATTGCAACTGTACTTGGGTTTCATTTGTTCTGATTTTTATTAGTCTCAATATTATTTAATTATCTAGGATTTATTACTGTAAAAATAGTTCATACATGGTTGCTTATTGTTCCAATTTGTAAGTTTGGTAATCAAGTATTTATTTGATCAAGTTTTTTTTTGTATCCAACTTAGACCATACAAGACTCAATTTTATTTAAAATCTATTATGTTTAGTGGTCTGATTGACCAAATCACTTCTTTCAATTAATTATTCTTTTTATGTAAGGTCTTGGTTGAAATGAAAAAGTTAGTGCCACGAGCGGGATTCGAACCCACGACCTTAGCTATTTAAAATTTATTTAATTTTACTAGTATTATTAATTTTTGAATTTATTTAAAATTAAATTGATGTATTTCTATAAAAATATCTTTATGCTATTGCATGTTTTGTAATCTGTTTGTTTGAAAATCAAGTAGTCAGATTTTGTGGTCTGACTGCATTTGTTTCACATACTGCTTTAAAATTTAGAATATTGTTTTCTATGAGTAAAGCCATGTGGCACCAAAAATATTTTTTATGCTGAGGGAGAAGTTCAAGAATGACATGCTTGTGTTTTGTTAACAACTTTATCTCTTTTCAATTATTTATTTTTAAAATTCTCCTTAGTGCTTATATAGTCCTATTATTATATTGGGGGACAGTTAGATGTTTCATTGTACAATTTAGTCCATCTTAATTACAGTTTATTTGGTCGTAATTTAATTGCATAGTAATGACATATTACTTCTCAATGGGAACTTTCTTTATTTTCCACCACCAGTTTTGTATTGTTTCTCATTCCTAGTCCGTATTTATTAATTGTTTCCAAACTATCAATGCTGTTAAATTGGATTTTTTTGAGTTTTTGATATAGTCTGAATAATTCATTGGGGCGGAAAAGCTTGTGATGCTTTGGCATAACCGTGGCCTAGTCGGACTCTTGTCTATTACATTTATTTACTGTTGTATGTTCAATCTCTTGGATATTTATTCTTCTTTTATTACTTATTAACCACTGATTTAGGCTCAGTAAGATTTAATTTTGCTTAAATCTCGGTGGGTTGGGCAGTGATGACCAANATTACAATGCGATACTAATCTGTTATTTGTTGAATGATAAAGCAGATATTTATTATTAAAAAATCACTATTTGTTTATTTCTTTGATATTTAGCTATTTATATTTTATCACAAATTATATTAGTCTGATGTAACAAGATTTTTGTTTTTCTTTTCGGTTTACTTTTATTGAACAGAATGTAACTTATAGAACATGTCTTTTCAAAGTTTAAACTGGCACATACATCTATACTGATGACGGCACAAAGTTGAAACACGTTCGAATAACTTGAAAATCCAGTGTCAAGTTCAACATGTGTTCACAGACAAGCTGACACCCACCGTCAACTTTGCACAATTTCTTCATTGTTGTTCAGATTGTTAAACAAAAAAAAAGACAACCCTACATTCTCCTAGGATTGGATGTTAAATGATCTTTCGAATAACTTATTTCCCTGGAAATGTGCCTTGCATCCTTATTATGTTCGAAATTTTTATTTAAACTTTTTTATAAGGACCTCCAACATTGAAGAATTGAGATTATCTGTGTAGTTGTGATTTTAAACATTTCCTATCATGATTTTAATTCTGCAATAGAGCCAAAGAGTTCGGGGTCATCCGAATCAAACGTGTAATATAACAAGATATTTGCTATTTGCCTTTTAATTAATGGATTAGTTAGTTTTTAATTTATCTTCAATGGATTTAATTGTGACGATTTAAATTATTATGACTTAGTTTTCATTGTAAATTGTTAAGCTATATATGTTTCACACATGCCGACTAATTATGCAAAAATAAACGATAAAATACCCTATGTGTGCTCCCTTTCATTTTATGTCTTCGTAATCTTACTTTTTATTTATTTTCCCCTTATTTGTATCATTTTATACAAAAATAATTTCATACTTATCATGGAGCCTAAATCAATTAAATAAT